TCTTTGGAAGGAAGGTTGGGCAATCTACTTTCATAGTGATACTGCCTCGGAAACTCATGGAGGGGTCACTATGAATCAGATCTGACTCCATGGCAGTGAGTTTGGGTTTTTTGGTTTTTATTCCTAGTAAGGAGATGTCGGGATTTGAGAGCAAACATGTTACCATTTTGCTTACTCACAAGAAAAATTAGAAAGCAGGATTATCAGCCATTTCAATCTTGTTAATGCTAATATTTCTGCTTATGTATTACAATATACACTTTGTGAATATTAAGCCTTTCAATATTAACTTTTTAATCATATTTCATTGGAATATTGGTGAAAGTTTACATAGTAAATTAGGTTCCCATTTAATATGTTACATACAAATTGTTCAGGGACATTGTTTACTTTTTATACCATGTGTCAATATTCTCATTATTTCTGCTCTAGTTGTACCATTTCCATTAATCTAGTTTCCTTACCCTCTTTACCATCTCATCTTTGCTTTAGAATAAATGTTGACTGACTGCACAGAGATGACTTTTTAAAGAAGCATAGTACTCACGGGTGACACTGTTTATTTTATGAGACAATCTTTTGTTTAGCTGAAATATGACCTCTGGGAGTAGTTTCAGTTCAAGGTTTAAAGGGTATCTCAGAGCAACTTCCTCAGGAGTTCTTTTCATCTCAATCAGTCCAGTAAGTCTGGACTTTTTAAGAATTTGAGTTTTGTTTGACATTTTTCTCACATTCTATTAGGGTCCATCTATTGTGTCCTTGATCAGAATGGTTGGTAGTGGTAGCTGGGCACCATCTAGTTCTGCTCTTGGGGTAGATAAGACCATGGTTTATGTAGACTCTTAGTCTTGTAGACTAGTTTCATCTCTGAGTCTTTAGTTTCTTTCTTTCTCTTTTTCTCCAGATGCATAGAAACCAATAGTTGTATCCTAAATGGCTGATACTAAATTTTGAGACAGCAAAGCAGTACACTCCCAGCATACAGCCCTTACCAGCAAGATTTTAAGAACATTCCCCAAGATCAGAAAAGCTAATGACCAGAATAAAGACACTACTTCATATTTCCAGTTTATTGTAGCAATTCCTTTCAATATGGGCTGGCAGGATATTTAAATGTACCTAATTTTTTGGATGCTATCTTAGGTGTTTCTGGTTAGCCTTAAGAGAAAAATACTACAATTTTTTCCATTTCCTATTGAAAGATAACCTTAACATTTTTATTGCACAAATGCATATTAAGTGCTTATCCTAAGGAGAATATTAATTTTCTTGGGCTTATTTTCTTCATAGAGGCTTTTGTCCTACTGCTAGGGTATTCTTCAACCCCCAGAACTCCATTTAAAGAGCTAGGTAAGATTTTTTTAAAAAAACTGATAGTCCCTTCTAGGCATATCTTGGTCAGCAAATTCTCCAAGAAATGGCTTATAAGCAAACCTAGACAGTATAGCTATATTGTAGCAATGGATAATCTTTTCAGAGGAAAAAAAAAAAAGAATTCACTTTGATAAGGATGAAAGAGCAGTGTGTATTCTCAAATTTCAACAAAAATCAGGTTGCTTCTAAATTCTCTACATAAGCAATGCCTTAAGATGAAAATAATTCTATTATCTTTTTATCAAATCCATGAGTGGATTAGGATGTCAATTTTCTACAGTTATTAGGATTTTTTTAAAAAAAAATTCTGTCTTTGATTAGATTTGCTTTTGTACTTAAAGGACAGGGAACAAAACTTATCAGGATGATTCTAATACAACTGAGAACTTTGCTGGAATGCATTTGACTCTAAAATAGTTTTCATTAAAAAACTCTGGTTTGTTAAATAAATATTTGGCTGAGTCTTCTGTACTTTAAAAAACAAACAGCATAGCATCTATATATCTGTATCTACATATTATAACATATAAAGTATATGAAATGCTTGATGAACCTAAACGCTATACCTCCAAAATAAAGTAAAATTTAAATTGAAGGGGAGTACCCATAAAACTTATTATACTTTTCTTTGTCTCACTATTAATTCTAATTCAAAAGAAATGCTCTTGGAGATTTCTGGTAAGATGAAGGAATAGGCAGACAAGCGACACAGACCCTCTTCAAAAAAGAA